CAACGGCCCTTTCGTTCCTGAACATACCGTGCCATTGGCACAAGTAAACATTTCTGGAATTGCTAATGCCCGAAGAAGGAGAGGCAATCCTGTGATGACAAACCTGAGCTCGGCTGCAAACTCTTCAGGAGAAATGGCGTCAAAAACATCGTCAATCCTTTCATACTGCTTGTAAGGATGTTGCCTCCCATCGTTGTGATTTCATAAATCGCAAAGGAGGTAAACGGATGCTAATAGGATAGTTTTTTTGGCTAAACATGGCGAGATTGTTACAGTAAAACCCTCGCACTCGGATCGATACATTTGTTTAGAATCTAAAGTTACAATTTTCGTCAGCACGACTACGAGTACGAGGTACTAGTACCAGATCTCGCGCGGTTAAAACTCGTACTCGTACTCGTTCTCGCACTCGAATCTAAAGCTCTCTATTGTTGCGCGGATACTGATGTGTAGTCACTTCCATTTCACTGACAGAACAACAATTTCGCTTTCAGTTAAGACAATTCAGCGAAGTTTTTACTATCTGGCTTAATAAATCAGGGAAAAAACATAAAAGGAGATTGTCAACAAACAAACAGTCAATAATCTTAGTTAACTTCGATTAGTCTTGCTTCTTGAAACCAAACACTTCCATTTCACTGACAGTAAAATTTCCACTTCCTGTTAAAAACATATTAGCATGCTGACCTGTAGGGCACTGATAAGAGTGGCCGAGGATTGAGTAGCAGTTGCCAGAATTTGGTGCATTGGCGACATGAAGATCGTGGTTTCCTCCAAATGTTGGCCCATAGACATCACGGCAAAAGATAGCGCACGACTGCTTTTCGGGTTTCAGAGTTATCTTTGCTGGTGGTAGACCAACAGGGTTGACAAGACTAAATAGGAACGAAGTTGTTGATTTTTTGTACAATCCAGAACCTAATGAATAAAGATATTTTAATCAAATGGCTAATAAATTGTCTTGTATGAATATGACTTCTACAAGGTCAAAGATTCCATATCTATTAAACAGACCCAAGCCTTCAGGAAAGGACATTCGTTCCCTTATGTTGCATTAACTGATTCGAGAGTAAACTTTCATGATCAAGGAAAACATTCAATATGACAGCAACCTAAAACTATAACTATTTGTTTTTTATTGTATTAGAAAAGGCCGTTTCTGAGGCGCCAAAATAATACAATAATCACACGACAAGCGCACCTCTTAATAAACACTTCCAGACGTGTTTGAGCTCCAGTGCACGAGTTAATTTCTGGATTAGAATGATTCCACCGGACACAAGTTCAAGGATCCTTGCTTAAAGTAAAACTCCAAATGTTTGCAATTATTTGCATTTTTTAGGCGTCTTGTTTACAGCAAACTTTGCACCCAAATTTGATACCTCAAAAAAAATTAGAGCTCTCGCTGCAAGTCCAATGCATGATCCACTCATCACTTAATGACAATAATAATAATAAATAATAATAATAATAATAACAATAATAATAATAATAACATTAATAATAATAGTTACAATTATAATGGGTTTATCAGGGGACATTCCACAATGTAAGTCCTCTTATCCACTGTTTCCAAGTCGAATTGGATCTTTGAGTAGGGAGGAAAATCAGTGGACCCGGGGAAAAAACACCGGAGAAAGGGCGAGAACCAACAACAAACCTAGCCCACATGTGATACAAGATCCGGGAATCGAACCCAGGCCGCAGCAGTGGGAGGCGAGCGCTCTCATCACTGCACCACTCTTGCTCCCTTAACAGTTGGAAAGTACGTTTCATTCATTGAAGACCCTACCATGTGACTCCCACAGTTGTTCAGTGTATCCTCCAAATATGTAATTTCCGCTCTTTATCACTGTGACTGTTGGTCCCTTGTTATCACAACAGGAATGAAAGTTGCTCGCAGCCCAGCCATTGCAAGAGGCCCGGTACAACAATTTCTCTCTAGCGTTGGTGACATCTGGAACGTCTTCCAACCAGTTCAGCAAAGTCTGGCGTTGATCGGACGACAAGATCACTGAATCCTGAAAGGGTTTTGGTTCCAGCACATCTATTATTCCTTCCACCTGATAAAACTTAGCCTCGATCAGCAGTTCATGACGAACAGTCTTGTCATCGGGGACAACCAGTTCCCCCGTGCGAAGATAATTCAGAATATAGCGGAAGTGTGTTCCATCTCGATCGATGAAGTAAGATCCATCCTCGTCAGGTTTTGAGTCAAACCTTCCGGAAAACATGGCGTGTAACATGGAACCTGGATAAATAATAACCACATCTTACATTAAACGTGATTCACTTCAAAATAAGTCCGAGTTATAAAGAATGCCTTATCCAAAAATTACCTTTCACTCTTTGATGTTCAAAAATTACGTGGTAAAGGTTTGATTTTCCACAAGGGATCCCTAAATAGAAAAAGTTCAAATGTCTTCATGGGATCCATTTCATAGTCTGTGCATCTGGCATCGTGCCAATAACACTTTACAAGCTCGCGGTCCGTCACCCGTTTGCAATTTGTATCAATCTCCGCCATCCTCATTGCGTTTCGGTTCTCTCTTACCTATCAGCTATATTATTGCCCTACAGGCTTTTGTTTCATAGATTTGATCTACCATGAGTGACTCGAATTGAAATATTGCGACGCCAGAAAGAAAGAAAGAAAAAACGAAAGAAAGTCTTAAGCACTCTAAACAACAAACGCGTCTAGTTACAATGATAAGGTTGAGATCGGACGTCAGCATTATCAGGCGCCTCTGGCAGCCGCTTCAGTCCATGTAACGACCTCACCTTCCCTCCCATCCCACCCCAGGGGAGGACATCCACCACACAGTAATCTCGTGCGTGGGAAATTAACGTCTCCTACCCCTAACCCTGCAGGAGACGGGGCCTACGGTTTATTCGTCCTTCTCCGAGAAGACTAGAATATCTATCCATTT